CAGGCCGCGTGTTCAACGGCTCCGCCAAACCCATCGACAGCGGCCCCGCCGTCATGGCCGAGGACTTCCTGGACATCAACGGTGACAGCTCCGGCTTTGGGAACATGGGAGGGTCTGGGGACAGCCTGGAACTGGGGGTGACACCGTGCCCTGATGGCCATGGTGGCCCTGGGGTGTCACCATGTCCCTCTGTCCCTCCATCCATCCATCCATCCATCCATCCATCCATCCATCCATCCATCCATCCATCCATCCATCCGAGTGTCCATCCATCCATCCTAGTGTCCATCTGTCCACCCTAGTGTCTGTCCATCATCCATCCATCCATCTCCCCATCCATCCCAGTGTCCATCTATCCATCCCAGTGTCCACCTCCACCCTAGTGTCCATCCATCCATCCATCCATCCATCCATCCATCCATCCATCCATCCTAGTGTCCATCTGTCCACCCTAGTGTCTGTCCATCATCCATCCATCCATCTCCCCCTCCATCCCAGTGTCCATCTGTCCATCCATCATCCATCCCAATGTCCGTCCATCCATCCGTCTGTCCATCCCAGTGTCCATCCCTCCCCCTCGGGTGTCCACCCTCTGGGCTGGTGCCTGTCTCACCCCAGACCCACTCCCAAATTTTGGCACCCACCGGGACGATCCCTGGACCCCTCTCCAGCCCCATCCCCAGAAGTGACCCAGGCCAGACTGGACAGAGCTTGGCCCAACCTGGGTGGGACCGGATGGGTTTAAGGCCCMTTCCACCCCAAACCATTCCTSRTTTTTGGGRTCCAGGCCAGCCCATCAACCCCCACGGCCGCATCTACCCTGAGGAGATGATCCAGACCGGGATCTCCCCGATCGACGTCATGAACAGCATCGCCCGCGGACAGAAAATCCCGATCTTCTCTGCAGCCGGGCTCCCCCACAACGAGGTGGGTGCCCAGGGGTGGGGGGAAGAGAGGATGGGTGGGATTTGGGAAGGCTGGATCCTCTCTCCTGCTGTGGGAAAGCTGCTGTTGTCTCGTGCCTCAGTTTCCCTATTGACGCTGTGATCCCTGTGCGCTGTTTGGGAGGGAATCTGGGCTGATTTGGGGTCCCTAAATCTGAGAGATGGGGGGTTCCAGATTCCCGCAATGTCCCCATGAGTGTGGCTGTGACAGAGGGGACAGAGGAGGAGGGGATGGGATGGGATTAGGATTGGGATGGGATTGGGATGCAATTGGGGAAGGGGATTGGGGTGGGAT